CCATCTGTGAAATATTACTACCTGTAGCGTAGCAGCGGTTCAACGCAACACGCAAACTTCCCCATTCACTCAGTGCGTTATAGTTCCACATCGCTGAGGATTTGTTGCTGCGCATTTGCGCAGAATGAAGGAAAGAGGAGAACAGCTGCACAGGCAGGCTGCGAAATGAGATGCAGGTGATCGGTTTGCGTGATCGGCAATAAGAGACCGTGATCAGAGATCACCGATCATACACTTTTTCACGGAAATCGGCCGATTATGATCGGTGGCCGATCGATCGGCACACCTCTAACTCATATCATTCAAATATTTTCCGAGTTGAGATGGAAGATGATGCTTACCGATCTGTCTAGAAACAAGTCAGAAGAGGCCTCTGACCAAAGACTGTTGCTGTATGACAGACTGGTGACATGCTGGCAGCTCAAATTACTTAAAAATTGCTGCTCAGACGCTCCAGCCAGCAAGACTGAGCAAACATTTCAGTCTGTGTGTTAAACTGGTAGATGCATACTGCAAAATTACTTGAGGAAGCTGGATTCAGATGCACTCCACACGTTTCAGAGATTAATTGGTAAAAAAAAAAAAGGTTGGAAACTCATTCATGAACCATGAATCATTTTGCAAAAATGCATCAGAATCTTTGGTTGTAGAAGCTGAACAAACTCTACATTCTTAATGCGGCTTGTACATCTCAGGCACTGAAGCAGTTTTTGGTTGTTTTTTTTGCTGACATTTCTGAAATCAAATCACTCTGCAGGCACACCACTCAGCGGAGTTTGCTGCGTATGACATGACTGACATGCCAACACGACGATGCACTGCTGTCTTTGTACCTGGATCAAAAATTGCTGATCCTGTCATACATATTTACGTGGGCGAGTTACAAAAACCCCCAACGGATAAGACAGCTGTGGAAAAATTGTTCCTACTTGAAGTCTTGACAGATGACTGATGTAAAATAACCCATCAGAAACATGGCAGCAGGTTTAACTTAGAACATGCACTGTTAGAAGAAATGACGCACTGATAGACAGCGTTAAAAAATGTGCAAATATTTATTTCCATTGTGGTCCTCAAGGAAAGGAAAGGAACAAAATAACATCCATTAGAGCAAAAACAGTCAGCATGGGCTAAATGTAGCACCGGCTGGGTGTTCAAAGGCACCTGCGTCTTCTTCATGTGGCTCCACTGAAGTTCTGTTAATTTAGGAAGTCTCACTGAGATCAAGATCCCTCAGAAAAAAACCCAAATAAACTCAGTGAATCCTTGTTTTAGTTGCCAGGATTTTGTCTGAAAGAGCTGGACTCTGTGAAGTGTGTCAGTGAGATGGAAATAAACTGGACACCAGAAACGTCAGTAGATTCTGTTGGGTTTTTGTGTGAGAAAAAAACACAAAGTAGCAAATAACTGGGAACTGGAAGGACTATGATATATGGTTTTCAATATTTTTAAAGCTAAAAGTTACACAAAATCTTACCAAGTGTTTTTGGTCTAGTTTCTAGTGCAAATATCCTCGTACACTTGAAATAAGACAAAACTAATAAGTCACTTTTCAGCAAGATACAGGCGCTTAAATCAATTTATATATATATATTTTTGACATCAGTCCTGTCAACAGATCCACCTACCTGAGCTGGAGACCCCTGCAGCTTCTCCAGAGTTCCCTTGAGCCTCTTGGGTACTTTTCCAATAAATTTTGATCAGTCTCATGAAAGCCCAGCAAAATACTTAACATTTTGTAGCTGTAGCAAGGTTCGGGAGGCTCGAAGAGCTACCGCAGTTTGCGATTCATCATATTGGCCCTTTGCACGTGACGTCACTATCTTTGAAACTCGGCCCGCTTCTCCATGACGGACGTCAAAACAATCTGCAAAGCCTGTCAAAAAAACAAACAAAAAAAACCCACATCTGGTAGCCTAATATCGCTTTCATTTAGCATTAAAAATTGTCATAGGGTTCTGCGCGGTCGGCGGCACAAACAGACAAGGATACAAACCAAACTTTTCATTTTATTGTATAACTTTTAATGAGGGAGGTTACGGCAGCGATAGATAACAGTCGTCAATCATAATGACTGGCAGCCCTCCGTGTAACTGCGGACTGCCAGTAATCTTCTTACTAAGAAGATTAACGTTCATATACTTTAAGTAAGTATGATTAGAAACGTATCAAATATTGCTTTATGGCAAAGGTACGAGTCTAACCACCAGTAACCAAGGAAATAGTGCCCCATGGTGATGTAGCCTAGCATGTACTGAAAAAACTGGTTAGTGTCGTCTTATATTTCCAATGCTGCTCCGGTTTAAGGAGAACCGCAGTTTATGACATAGTGATGTAAATTTTGTGGTGTGAATTCAGGCAAAGTCGGTAATTTGATGAACATGTCAGGGGGCAGGAGCTACGGGTCACTTTCTAAGCTAGCTGTTTCTGGCTTCTGTAAATCCCGCCGTCTATGAGCCCCAACCAGGTGTGTTACGTTCACAGATAAATTAGCTCGACTCGAAAAAGAAGAAGTTATTAAGAAACCTGCAAAAACAACTTGGGAAAACAACGTCTCAATACTCCCGTCCCTCGCTTCCAACGTCCATCATGGCGCTTCGAATGATTAAGGGACGTAATTGCAAAGGGTCAGTAGTGACCACTAGAAGGTCTTTTTCTGTCCAGAGCTCCAGACCACAACTGAAACAACCCGATGTCATGAAAACGGCTGCCAACCAGTCCACACTTTAAAACTTCCTTCAAACCTAATAGAGAGCGCTAAGGACATCTGTCATGGATTCTTTATTGAGCCATGACAAACAATCGTGGCAGTGAGCGGTAAACACGCGCTGCCAGAGCTTTCCCCGGCTCTGTAAAGAGATTGTCAAGCTGTTCTAATCCCATCAAGAGAGTACTGAACAAATCCCTCACAGCTCCGTCCCACTCATCCGCACACGCTTCCAACAGGCTGATTATATATGCACAACAACAACAAAAAAAACTCGCTTAATTTCTGAGGAACTTCCAGACGTCACCTTTCATATCAGCTGGCTCTTCCTCTGTCGCTGACGCAGTGGCGCCCTCGTCTGGTTAGAGCTCGAAACGCATTAGTTCTCAGAGAACGACTGGAACGAGATGAGTCCTGTTGGAAAATGAAAAGTTACGATAGTTTTCAGTCAGAACCGCTGCGTCATGTCTGCTTTAGAGATGCATCGCTGTTTTTATGGTTTTCTCGTGTAGATGGAAGTATTTTTTGGTCATGAGGTCATATTTTAGTCTGCTTCATTTACATCAAACCAGTTACACTTCGCAAGTCAACTTCAGGCCGAGTCACACTGGGAGGAAGCAAATTAAAATCTTACAATAGAAATGTTGACTGTAACACAAAGTTATAGTGATAGATGTATGACATCTCTCTGACTTTGATTCATCCAGATATACTGTTAATGTATTAACTTGTCTACATACCTTTTCATAAAAGTGACCTATATTTAGTTTTTATTGCTCAGAATCAACAAAATATGTTTTTTTTTTAAATCGACAGCTTTTTTTTTTTTTTTTAAAGTCACAATGTAAAGCTCTTTTAACAAAGCACACCTGCAAAATCCTTTTAATGTTCTGGGTCTAATATGATATACACATTCCTTTAAAAAAAATTACTCATTTAATTAAAGATTTACAATGTAGTTTATTGTTGAAAAGATTTTTTAAATCAATATTTTTTTTAAAAATCTGTATTTTTTATTCATCTTTTTTTGTCCTTCTTTCCCCCTAATTTTTTGGGGTGCACAAGTAATTTTGATTCAACAATTTTGGGGAATTAGAACATAGGCTATGAAGTTGTGAATATAATCCTTAACTTGATCTAATCGGAGTGGAAAAAGTTGTAGTGCTAATAAATATGCATAGCCTCTTGATTTCATTTTCATCAATATCACATAAGCTCATTGATTAGAAGGAAAATGTATCCTTCAAACTGATTTTTCAGCAAATTTTGACACTGATGAAAACTTCATACATTAATATATATAAGCGCATTGTCCATTATTTTAACAGTTTTCATGGGATTAAATTGATGTTTTGAAATTGGCATTTAAGCACAAATCTAGATCAAATGGAGGATAATTAAAAAATATTGTTACTTTTAACTTGTTGAACTGAATACACACTTTGTGTTCATGACCTTGACTGGAGAATTCTAGGGTTTGCTTTGAAATTCTGTCCCTCTGAAGCTGAAACAATGAGATATGAATGAATACTAGATTCCTTTTGGGCATGATAATGATACTGTGCCCTAAATACACCCCACTGTGTTGATGTCATGGTGGTGTCTTGCAGATGAACACTGAACAAATGTCCCAATTCTGCATCCTGATATGCACCAGCAGGAAGAAAAACAACAACCATGATGAACTATAATAAGGATTAAGTTGTTAATGTGCTGGCTCCGGTTGGACAACAACTTCAGATATGCTCCAACATTTGCATCCATATTTGCTTCTGTAAACTCTGAGCTCTTCTTTTTATGGTAGTTGGCAAAACACTGAGAACACTGATGTTACTGCGTCTGATGGCCGAGCTGCCGAAGGGTTCTGGAAGGTCATGGACCATTACTGGAGCAAACCCCGGAGCGGACTCTCCCTCTCTGCTGCTTCTGAGACCAGCCAGGCCAGTGAGCAGACTCCTTGGCCTGTAGCCGCCGGTATTTAAAGCGAACTGTGAGCTGGGATAAAACCTCCCAGAGTCAGTGTGAGGCGAGAAACTCGCCCTGACCCTGGCACCTTGAGATGCACGGCCTGATGGGACTTTTCTTGCAGGTGCTTGAGCGTACATCTGCATCATGACAGAACTACATGGACTCAGAGCAACTGGACCGTACTAGAAGGTTGGTGAGGCAGTCCTCTGGCTCTTGGATTTTGATTCAATTTTGTTCTTCACTAGTTTCCCTGAGCCTTGGACTGGTTGAGGCAGAGCTTGTCTGAAGCTATTGGAGGAAAACCTCTGACCAGAACTGCTCTTCACTGCAGGGTTAGTTTTGAAGCTGCTGGTCTGGACTGGACTTGAAGAGGAGAAGCCTTGTCCGAGTTGGTTCTGGAAACTGCTGCTGAATTTTCTTAGTCTGTCATCTGGTAGAGAGAAGCCAGAATGTGTGTTGCTGTTCTGGGGTCTCAGTGCTACAAGACAAAGTTGCATAGAATGTGTTTGTAAGTTAAGTGAAGTGAATGTACTATTCCTGCCCCAACCCTGTTTTGTTTTGTTTTAAACAATCCTTACCTTCTTCAACCTAGAAGCCACCACCAAGCTCTATTTGAACTAAGTAAATCAGCAAGATTCTGTTTAAGAAAAAAATATATTAAATATCAGAGACATTGAACACTTCCATAAATGCAGCTGCAGAAACTCACTGCATGGAGTTTCTGCTGCACGCACTTCAGATGGTAGCAAAAGCAACCCAACTCTGGAGAAGCTGCTTGCTCTGTATGTGAAGCAGTGAGTTGGTGTTAATTGCTGCTTTCAGCCAATCACTGCTTGATGAACTGATTGTCTGCAGGTGTTGGAGTCACACAGCTCATCCCAGTCATCTGATTAGTTGATTTCCTGTCATGTTATTCTCACCACAACATGGTGACAGTTTTAACAAATATGTAAAAATAAAAACATTGTTTATAAAAGTTGCATACTACAGCTTTAACTTTAGTTTCCAAGTGTCCAAATCATTTAGAGTATAAAAGTTGTACTTTTCACAAGGTGATGCAGTCAATTCTTGGAGTTACTTTAAAAAAAGAGCTTACTTCACAGCTAAACATAACAGAATGAATTTCTGACCAAAACTAAATAATATCAGTCAATGTTGCAGAAAACAGACTAAAATTCTCATGTTTTCAGGACAACATGCATCGTTGGCCCAGGTTTTGAATCAAAAAACAAAGACTGTAAAACTACCTTAGATATCTTTGATTTCATCTGTGGAGGATTTCTGGGATGTTTTCAGTAGAAACTGATACAGCATCTCTTCAATGAACCCTGCTATCTTATATATTGAATTTCTTTTAAGAATCCCATCTTGATTCTTAAATGTAATATTAACTTTATTTCCTCTGTTGAGAGGGAATCAATGAACTTCATGAGGGGTTGCTTTAGCTTGTGCCCTGAGGTCGGTTTGTTTTTTTTTTAATCCGGTTCAAGTAAATATTACATGTAAGAAATCCACTGTGCTAAAATAAGGGTTTCTCTGGTGATTGCAAAATACTGCACAGTGCAGTGTTAGTACTGCTGTCTTGCAGCAAGATGATCCTTGGTTTTAGCCTTTTCCAAACAGTCCAGAGCCATGCATACATACTGGGTAACTGACCTCCAGTCTGAGTGAGTGAATGCTAAATTTTTGTCCTTTGTACTCAGCTTTTTGAACATTGAAGATAGTGACTTTTATAGCTGCTCCCTAAAAATAGTGTTATTGCTTCAAAACTGACTTCACTCTTGGTACTATTATCTATTAGACATCTCAAAATACAAACTGGTTCCACCGAGTTCTGCTAGTGACCCAAGTTTTTGATTCAGATGTGTTTGAGCAAATGGAATAAAATACTTGTGGTACATTTGATTCTTAGAGACTACTGTATGAGAAGCACCTGAAATACTGCGTCCTATAAAGTGTCTTTGCTCCTAAAGTGGTTTGATCTTAAACTTTAACTGGAATTTAAAAGTAAAACACACACAAGAGCTTAAAAAAATAAACAAAAAAACATTTGTTTTATTTCAGCACACTATTTTTAAAATTCAAGACACTAGGTTTAGCGTCTATAGGGCAGCTTCAACTTAGACCATTCAGAGGCTGGATGAACACTGGGGAGGTCAGGATTGGACGCCGCTGCCCTCTGTGGTCGTGGTGGTGTGTCGATCCAATATGGCTTCTGGACTGGACCTTGGTACGACATCTTCCTGCTCCAGTCATATCCTGAATGGCTGCTTGTTTGTTCAGGTTTGTAAAACGGTACCCTCTGTGGAGGCCGATAGACCTGCTGTTGCTTCTGGACACGTACCGCCTCCTGCTCAGTAGGTCTTTTCAGCCGTCTGATGGCCGAGCCGCCGAAGGGTTCTGGAAGGTCATAGACCACTATTGGAGCAAACCTCAGAGCGGACTCTCTCTCTCTGGGAGCAGCCAGGCCAGTGAGCAGACTCCTCGGCCTGTACCCTCTGGTATTTAGAGCGAACTGTGGGCTGGGATAAAACCTCCCAGCTGCAGCGTGAGGCAAGAAACTCCTGATGTTTTCACCTTGAGATGCACGGCCTGAAGGAACTTTTCTTGCACGACCCTGAGCAGACGTCTGCATCCGAATAGAACTATGTGGACCAGGACCAACCAGACTGAACAAGGTGGCTGATGAGCCCTTTTTCCCATAAGAGGAAGGGTCCATGTAGGAAGCTGGGCTGAAGGGGTAGCCTTCCCTTTCGCTCACCCTTCGACTCTGCTCAGCAAGCAAAGTGCTCTGGCTCTTGGGTTTTGACCCAACGGTGTTCTTCACCAGCCTGAAGAACACCGTTGGAACCGGTTGAGAGCGGGATTGTGTTAGGCCACTGGTGGAGGGCTTCCTATCGTAACCACTTTTCACTGCTGGCTTAGTGTTGAAGTTACTGGTCTGGACCTGCACTGAGGAAGGAGAGAAGAAGCCTCGTTTGAGTTGGTTCTGGAAATCGCTGCTGAATTTTCTCTGTATGCCATCTGGTGGAGGGAAGCCAGAGTTTGTGTTCTCCGGTCTCTGTGCTGCAGGACAGAGAGACAAATTCCATTTAGAGAGATGGAGAGAGTTGGGGCAAAATGTGACTGATTTGCAATTCTTACCGTCTTTAGGCCAAGAACAACCAGCAAGTTCTGCTTGAACTAAGCAAATCAGCAAGATCCTGTTCAGGGAATAATCATTGAAGAAATTAATACCAAAACAAAAACTTTCATCTGTAAACCTTGATTAGAAGGGAAAAAAATAGCTCACTTACCCAAAACCAAGTCCACAAGTCATTTCCATGCCTCTTCAGTCTGGTCACAGCAAAAGCAGCCCAACTCCCTAGCAGCTACTTGCTCTGCATGTACGCAGCAGTGAGTTGGTATTTATTGCAGCCTTGAGCCAATCACAGCGTGTTGTACTGATTATCTACAGTTGCTGCGGTGGTGGAGTCACACAGCTCATCTCCTCTGATTTATGTTTTCTTGTCTTCCTCTGCACTGATGATTAAATACGTCAAAAAAATAATATATGAATCATAAAAATTGTGGCATTTTCTACAATTAGTTTGGAGAATAAAGAAGCAAAGAAGAGAAATGTTTAACTGCTGCATCATGCCAGCCACATATAATCAAAATAAATATACACACATCATGACATGCATGTTTGTCACCTAGATGCACTGTTATCGCTGTCAGTCAACCTCGCACATGTGCTTTTTAATGTGCTATTGGCAGAGAAACAATTCACTGTTACAGGAAAACCATTTATCCACTGACATCGGTGGTCATGCTAACTAGCTTTAGCATTCACAGCAGGCTCTCCTAGCTGCAAAGTAGCAGAGAGAGCTACTCTCTGCTACATTAAAAAAAGAAGTAGCAGTAGTGGGGGGAGAAGAGCATGAGGACTGCTACACAGAGGGTGATTGACAGCACTAAGACCCTCCTCTTGGCTTTGATTGGTTATTAATAGTTAGCTTGATTTTTTTTCACAGATTATCTGTCTAATGCCGTACTGTCACAACATGGTAACAGTTTCAACATATGTGAAAAATAAAAAATATGAGCTACTTGCTATATCTTTAAAGTACAGTCTCAGAATATTTAAGATAATAAATCTTAAATATCAAGATTTAATAAAAGATACATCAACAACAAAGGTGGCACCCTGCTGCCATTTTCTCCACATTTTTGACCCATTTTAAATTTACCTTAAAGAATTAGATCAGAGTTCAGTTCTTTTCCAAGGTGATTCCTCAGTGACGGTGCAGAGTAAGAGGAGGCTGCTGTCCCTAAATCTGCACAAACTGAGTGACGACATCCTGGGTTCGGGTGACACACAGGAAGAGAAATGTGAGGGCAACAAGCCAAGAATTGATTTAGAAATAAAAATGTACCACTGAGAAACTGTATGTGAACGAGATGGCCATTTAACTACAGCTGTTTATATCCAGTGATAAACCCTAGTGCCTTTAATGAGTCTAATAAGCAGAGGCAATATTTCACAGTATCATGTCCTGGATGACAGCATCAGTTTTTGGCAAGCACTGCTGATCCATCTCTTTTGCTTTTGCCACTCCTCTTTAAATCTCTGCCTGGCTGAACGGTTAAAACACTGAGAAGAGAAATACATTAGTATGAAAAATGTTTGTCACACTTCAGTGTTTCAGAACATCAAACCATTTTAAGAGACAACACAAGTAAACACAAAATGCAGTTTTTCAATGGAGGTGTTGTTGTATTGAGGGAGAGAAAAATCAAAACCCACATGGGTATGTGTGAATAGACGATATATATCTGGCTCCACCAGAGCTCTCACAGCATCACAGTTCATAAAAAGTTGTGTGTCATTCTTAAGTGCTGCAATCAAAGCTCTTTTGTAAAATCATTAACTACAATTTCCCAGAAACGCTGCATATGTAGCCGCTCCAAACGCCTGAACGAGACACCAACGTCTCTTGGTGGTGAACTCATGCTCATCTAAACCTCATGCAAATGTTTACATCCGTTGCTGCCATGAATTTTAATGACTTACCGTGTGAACAAATGTATTCACATGTGATTTTAATTTAATTTCTTAAACATTGCAATTGCAAAATTTTAGTTTTTCAACAAACAGCTACTGCCCTGACCCAGGCCTCTCACCGTCACCAGCAGGCAGGGCGGGTGTAGCCTCTTGCCCAAGGATGCAACAGCTGAGACAGACGGAGAATGGGTTTGAATTGGCATCCCACCAGTTGCCGGGTGAACTTCTGCCTCCTGAGTTGTTGTAAGTGGATGTGGTGTGATGACCACTACAGATACTCAAAAGACTTAGTTCTACATCATGAACTGACCTGGCCTAGGTTTTTTAATATCCAGAACCACTCATGAATACTTCAAGTAAATTAATATTCTGGAAGTTATTACCTCACATGAACTTGCATCCTAACTTCTCTGTCACAGAACAAGTCGCAGGTCATCTTTTGGTTTGCGTGAGAATCATTCAGAAATCAGAGATTTTGCAAACGTATCACTCTCCAACCAGGACTTGTGCCTTCAGCATGACATGAGATTAAGATAAAGTAATCTTTTACTTCGCAGAAACATCACTAGATTATTAAACCATAAAATGCAATATTTATGAAGAACTCACATTTAGACACATGTTGATACATTTGATAAATGCTCTGTGAGGTGATCTTCTTCTGCTAGTGTGAAAGTCATACAAACACCAAGATCAGCTCGAACTTTTACTCTGTTAAAATGAACGAACACACTCTCCGGATGTCAGTAACCTTCAGTTGGAAAGATTAGTTTTATCTTTGTTATGGAATTCTGTCTCCTCTCAAATGGAAACTAAAACAGTTTAAAAGAAA